TTTCCATTGTTCTTTACATATGTTTTATTTTTAATATGAAAATTTATTTTCTTTCTCTTTTGTTCTTGATAGGTGGTTTAAATGGGTGTATCATTTTCTCACAGCTCTATCATCTTCCTTTCATTATCACTATTGTGAAGTCATCTAATTTTTTTTATTCCTTTATTAATAATCCGTCTTTTATCTGGATGCTTTTATAGAGCTCCCTTTGGTGTTGGGGTTATTCATTTTACTTCATGTGTAAATATGGGGGGTTTTTTTGTTGTTGTTGTTTCACTTGCTATTCTTTGTGCTCTCTACACAAGAAGATGCCTGTTTGTTGAACCCCCGCCCCCCACCCCGGTCTTTTCATTATTTCCTTCTGAAACTATGATTAAACAAACATTTGTTAGATCTTCTCATTTTATCCTCCATATGATTTAACTTCTTTATTATTTTCATTTTTTTGTCTTTATACTTTTTTCTGTATAATTTCTTCAGAACTTTATTCCAGATTACAAATTCTTTTCAACTGTATCTACCCTGCAATTTAGCCCTTTTATTGAGCTTTAAATTTAAATTGTTATATTTCTAAATTCTGTGTTTTTAAAGATGGCCTAGTCATTTTTCATAGTCCCATACTTATTTCTCCTGTCTGGCTCCTTTTTTGTTTCCTTAAACACAGTAATTAGTTAGTTTACATTCTGGTTTTGGTATTTCAGTATGTAAAATCTTCATGGTCTGGTCCTGTTCTCTTGTTTGATGACTCTGCTCTTGCTTGTGATGGCTGGTTACCTTGAATGTTTTACTGGGATTCTGTGAGACTTGCATGAGAAGTGGATTGAGAAAGTATTTCTCCTCAGAGGATTTGCTTCTGCCTTTGCCATATGTCTGGGAGCACTTCAACTTTAGACATGGGTTTACTTTGCGGCAAGGTGTTCCTCGTGGGGGTTTTCTGAACGTGCAGATAGCGTGTAATCAGGCATCAGTACGGGTGTGGTCAGCCAGTGCCTTCAAAATATCAGGAATGGCTTCTTTTTCTACATCTCCACTCAGCATTTTTCTTTCATTAACTGTTTTCTTCATTAGCTGGAGGTTTTCTTGTAGTTCCTTGCTCTCTGGACCAGTGGCATGAGCATCACCTTGGAGCTTGTTAAAATGCAGCATCTCAAGTTCCACCCAGACTCACTCACAATCTGCATTTTGACAAGATTCCCCCAGGTTGTTTATGTGCACATTTTAAAATCTTGCAACTCACTTTCTTTTCATGAACCTCCTTGAGTCCTGGCCTCTAATAGGTTTCTTTTTGCTCAGGCTCCCTGTTGTCCTGAAAGCTCCATACCCCAAACTCTAGATAAGAAAAAAAGCACAGAATGTATAATAGTTTAAGTGTGTATCTCACTGGACTGCTTTTCTATTATTGTTATTGACTTGTTATTGTTAAATGTCCTTCCTTTGATTCAGAAGTATTCTGTGTATTTTTTTTTTACTTTTTTAGGTGTTTTATAGCTGTCTGGTTTTGGTACCTCTAACTTATCAAGTTTCCAGAAACAGAAATTCTACAAAGTTGTTGTCTTCTTTGTTTTTTAATGATGCTTAATTCTTTGTTCCTTTGCTTTTATTATCTCTTCTATTAGTAGATCATGTTTTTGCCTGTAATGTATTTTTAACACAATTCTACCAAACCACCCCTTGAAGAAGACAAAATGGACTTTATGATGGTGATTTTCTTCTCAAAAGATGGGTTTTGTTTTAAGTTCATCAGCTATTTCTCAAGCAGTTGAGGGAGTCAGAAGTTTGCTGATGGCCAAAAGGAACTAACATTAATATACTTATTGTTGCTTAATACCTACTATTTGAGAGTCAGAATCTATAGGTGTGTGGCCGTTGGGCTCACCCTCACGTATCATCTGAGAGGCCTTTCTTTTTTGTCTGCCCCTGAAGCTACTTGCACGTACCTCACTGCCACTGCCCGCCCCCCAGCCCCACCCAGCCAGGCCGCTGTGCATGGATTTGTTTCCAAAAATGTAAAGCTTACAAGTGCCAAAGAGCACAGTGTGCCCTGTCTTCTCTGGTACTGCACAGAAGTGAAGGGAATTGTCTTTCATGTTCTGTCACACTGTCTACCTGCCTACAAAAGTAGTTCTGTTTATGCGTCCAGGGTCTCAAGAGTACCTTGAGAAAGCTGCTCTTTCAGCTTTTCCTTCTAGCCCCTTCTACATCTTTCTGTAGATAAAGTTCCTTCAGAAGTGCCCAAAGCCAGGCTGATGGACCAGTTTCTTAAACTTATCCTTTGCTACTCTTCTCTCTTTCCCCAGAATACACTCATGCTTCTGTTCTGTACCAGGAAACCTTATGCAAATTGACTTCTGTGTCCCACAGTTAGACTCAAGGTATTAATGCACTAAACATGTGCACATATAGACATACACATTGCTTCATTTCTCTGAACTGCCCTTCCAAGTATGTTGAAATATCCCACTTTACAAATGGGAAAGCAGACTCAGTGAAATACAGTAAGAGGTTCACATTGCTAGTAAGTGGTGTGTCTGGCATTGGAACCCAGGTGTGACTCTCGTGCCCTTAGTCTGCAAGTTTTTTATTTCTCCATTGTATCACTTCAGGAAAGGGCCAAGCTGGTTTGACAGGTCATCCAGGGATCCAGGTTTTTTCATCTTGTTGCTCTACCATTTTTGTAGGGTGGTACCAACATGTACCAACATGTCAGCCAATATGTACTAGTAGAGTTTTGCTAGTCATTTACAAGTTGTGTGTCTTCTGATTGATATGTTCTGATGGGCAGTATCTATATCATATCAGTTGTTAAATATTTTCAGTTTCACCCTGGCTGGGTGTTGTCCTCTTCCCTGTAGCTGAAGCAGGGTCATCGCCACATCCTCATGACAACTCAAGGGAATGGCAAAAGAAATCCAGGGCAATCAGCTTGTTGCAAAATTGAGGCAACTTAGAATTTGCACACATCACTTTCAGTCTCCTTCTAGTGGTCACATTTGGACACGTGGCCACTTGCATAGGGGAGGCTGGGAAATATGATCTGTTAAATGCGTGGTCTGGTTAATAGCAGGAGGGATGAGAGGGGGTCCTAGAACTAAATGGAAGAAGGGAAAAGTGGCTGTTTGGGATATGCAGGAATCTCCACCACATCTACTAATGTCACTTTTTCAGAAAGTGATTGTGTTTATATTGAAAAGAATTACTGTAAAAATAAAGACAGTTATATACCGGCCCCATCACATTATTGTGAGGCTTAAATAAGGTGTCATCTTTTTAGCTGCTAGCACAGTGCCTGGCACATAGTAAGCATCTAACACATCTGTTACTTTTATTATAGTATATCTGCATCATTTAAGAGGTGAAATTTTTAGCCTCAGATTTTGTCTACATTATAATTGGTAGCCAGGGACATATTTTGTGCAATTGTTTGGATTTTGCATAAATGCTTAGGAATTTCTACAGATTTGGAACATACCAAAATTGCTTTTTACACTGATTATCATTTCACTTTTTCAGTGATGAGATTTTAAAATTTACAACAACAATCAAACCTAAAACAAAGTGCTGGTTTTGTTGTGCTGAGCCTGAGCACGCAGTATGGGGTGGCTACTTTTATCTATTAAATACTTGCTGATGTTTAGGCCTGTAAGTGAGTTATTTAATGTATAATAAAATATACTTAATTAGTAACCAACTACAGAGACTGCTCATTAGTTAAAGTAGATGTAAAATCTGTTTGCATTTAGAATCTAATATGTAATTATTAAATTGTCCTTTCTGTATATCTGTATTATTAATAAACTATTATGACCTAGCAAACAATCTTTCTTTCTTGCTTTACTAACTAGTAATATATTTTTTGATGAATAGATATTTAGACATCAGATGATGGGTAAAATCTTCTGTTGTGGAGACTGCTTGAACTTGTTAAATTGGGATATAAGGTCAAATTATGAAGAATTCTGTATTTCAGGCAACATGACTAATTGGTTTAAAAATCCTATTATTTGGACTGAGAAAGTCCTTCAGTTGTGCATAGTTCATAATCACCAACATTTTCCATATATTTTTCTAGTCAACCACAGTAAACCAACATGAGATTATTATGTGAAATGTAGTAACATAATCAGAAATTCAGATTTGTACTTTTTATTTAGTTTCTAAATAAAAACAAATACTGCCTTATAAGATATTATTGCAGATTTTTCTCTTTAGCCTTTTAGTATATGTTTAACTAAATATTCTGGTGAGGAGATAAGAAAAAGAAAATATACCTTAGATATTAAAGTGGAGTTTGAAGACAAAATAGTCTCTACTCTAAATCAATAAATAAGTAAAAATGTTTAATAGATAAGTGTACTATTTTAATATGTACAGAAATTTTTCTTGATCCATAGGAATTTTCTTGGCCAATTAGTATCATAAATATGAAGTATTTTACATTAGAATGTGGATGGAGGGAAACTATATTAATTCTGTAGATCATTATCATGGCTTTATTAAAACATTAGTAAGTAAATGAAAACATGCATTTTCTTGACACATTTTTAAAATTTTAGTTGTCAGGAATAGAGGACCATGATTAGAATTTACTTATAAGAATACTAAATATAGTCTCTTGTGACTTCTGGAGATTTAAATAAAAATATTGTCATTGAAAAATTAATACTAATTTTCCATAATGATCTGATTTCTGGCATTTTTGGCATGGCTTTAGACAGGAATCAGTATTTAATATATGTATCTACAATTTTGGTAATGGTTAACTAGAGTATTTCAAAGCTCTTCTTTTCAAACTAATGTCACTGGTTGCCTGCAAGGGAGGGAAATGGCTGTCTGGAAGACTTTTCCTCAGAGGGGAGAACTTTTCACTGTATGTACTTTGTACTTTTTGAACTTTGACCATTGTGAATGTATGCACTAAAAATAAATTAAGTAAAAGTATTAAATTTTAAAAATAGAATTAATGACCAGCTCCTATTTTTCCACCAACCCCACTCTGCTAGGAGTCCCCCTTCTGTGTCACTCTTGGAGGAAAACAAGTTCTTCTCAAGACGGAAAATCGGAACCTATCAAACAATCCCTTAAGAAGCCAAAGTTACCAGAAGGTCGTTTTGATGCACCAAAAGATACCTATTTAGAGAAAGAACCACTAACAAGTAAGTATGGTACAGCTGCTCTCATTTCAAGACTCCATGATAACACAGTCAGTACGATATAGCCTCCTAACCATGTAACTCTGCATCTTCAGAATGGACCACAATGCTTTTCCTGTCTCTGTTGACTGCTTTGTTCACATCTTCTTTCTTCAGAGTTTCCAGATGATGTTAATCCTATTACCAAAGAAAAAGGTGGACCCAGGGGCCCAGAACCTACCCGATACGGAGATTGGGAACGAAAAGGACGCTGTATTGATTTTTAAGCCATGTATTCTTTAACTTCAATATCTTTTTCTGAATACACACATCTGAACTTATTTCTGACTGTTTTCTGTATGTCCTTTAATCATCGAATTTCTATAATGTGTTTTAAAATATATATGATGGATTTGGAAGAAAATATGCTGCTCTAAATTAGGAAAGAGGAAATATGTCTGCATTAGCACATTAATTTTAATTTAAATGTTTTTGGGTTATAAGTGATGATTAGAACTGTAAACTTCTTTCATCATGTTTTAGTTTAATCAGTTGCTCATAAAATGCAAATGTAAATAAAGCAACTTTTTTTTAATGATCCATTGCCTTGTGTTAGGTAATTTTGACTTTTTAAATACAAGTTAAGCAGTGCATTTTATTTGAGAATTCCCCAGTAACAACAGAAAGTCTTTAACTTGGAGCCAGATTACTTGGGTACAAATCCTGGCTCTACTGCTTACTAGCTATGTGCCCTTGAGTGACTCATCTAACTTCTCTGTGCTTCAGCATCCTCATATGTAAGTTGGGTATAATGCTAGTCCTACTTCACAGGGCAGTTGAGAAGATTTAACAAATAAATACCTGTAAACAAAATAAATACCTGTAACAGTACAGAGCACTGTACTGTTAGTGTTAACTATCCTTAAATCACAAATGTACTTTTCCAAGCCTCTAGGCTTCCTTGGAGAAAAGGTTAAGAAACCAAAATTTGAAATACTTTAATTGAAATTGTTTCATATGACCATAACATTAAAAGTCATCGGTTGGGAAATTAGTGATTATTTGCATAGGTGAAATGAGCTGAAAGATATATTAGTGTTTGAAACATAAAATTCAGGTGTAGAGGGCAAATATGAAAAAAACAGGGCATAGAATGGACCAGCTTAGTCAGTTTTGATGACTCAATAGCTCCTACCTCTGTGGCCTCTGGATAACTAACTGGGTCAGGAAAGTCAAGTCCAGTTTAAGATCTGGAATGAAGGAAGGATGAGAGCTGCTGCACCTCCCTTAAGGCATCCTTTGCTGTCCTGCGGCCTCACTCAGTCACAGATTGGGCCTTCAGCCCTCAGGCTGCACTTAAATTAGGAAGCAAGGGTTTACGAAGCCTATAGGAGACAGAATGCAGTGGGCTGATAATTGTATGATATGAATGATAAGTGCAATGAGGAGATTGTAGGGAGACTTGTTTAAGAAAATAAACTTTCTAAAAAGTATATTCTCCCCAGAAACTAACAAGTGTGGTAATTGGGACTAGTCATTCCATCTTTATACCATTCTCTCCTCTCTCTTTGTCAACATTTGTTCCCTAATTGCAGTAACTGTGTATGCTGCTACGTAATAATCACATTCACATAAATTATGATATAATGAACCTTCAATTAGCCCAAATTAGTAAAGACTTTTTACTAACTTAACATTTCAGAAAATTGGGTTAAATTATGTTGTATTGTCTAGTTTTGCTTGGATTCCACACTAATCATCATGATAAGTGATGGAGAAAAGACAATTTATATACTTCAAAAACTAACATAATATATGTAACAACTAAAGTGTTGTATTAACATAATAGAATCCTTAATCTCTGTTAATAGTAACATGATTCATGACAGCATCAAACATCTGGGTGAAATTTGGTGGCATGAAAACATTTATGGTTTTTATGTCCACCAAACATGAACAGAAAAGCCGGAAGACTTCCAGAAGGTGGTCTGGTGGCAATGGAAATGCATCACTCACACCCACACCTGTGGGAAGTAGAGTTGACTGAGAACCCCAGCTGCCCCACTAGACCCACTACTGTGTTTGTGCTGAGGGCATGCTTCTTTCCTGCACCTTCTAGCAATAAATAAATGAGTATGATGGGGCTGCAATGAACAAACATGATAGCCAGATCCCCTGATGGGTTACATTGGTTCAAGGACTCCCCATTAACCTCCCAGAATGTTCTTAGCACTGTGCTGCTGTCTGAGACTCTTCCTACCCAACCCTGTCCTTCACTCTCCCCTTCCAGGTATTAGATTCTGCCCATTCCTCCCCTTTATCATTCACAAGTCTCCCAAATAAGTCTCTCACATTTAATACCATTTCAGCATCTGTTTCTCAGAAAATGCACACTAAGTTGGGTAAGTTTAAAAGAACAATTTACATATTTTCAGAAGATGTGATAAATAAAACAGAGCCCTTGCCATCCCAGCATAAAGTCTGGTGGGTTTGATTTACACATGAGAACAGTTCCAAAAGACAACTGACAGGAGACCAAATGGATTGCAAGTGGCTCTAATTCACCCCAAACACACCAAAGGAGACTTTCTAGGTTTGATGAGGCCATTAGCATTTTCGGGGTTTTTGGTACTAGACACCTGGTTTTCACCTTTTTAAATCTAAACTGACTCTCTGAAATACTCATTAATCAAGTTAAATATTTATACTGTGATCAAATTGACTAAGAAGATACGGAGTGAGCAAAGAGATATAATTAATATTCCTGGGCATAATAAAGATTCCTCAAGCCACTTCTGACTCCAGAAGAACATTGTTGGTGGACATCCTCTGCACAAACAGTGGAGCGAAAACTGCCTCTGACTTCTCTAAGAGGACTGGCTGCTATGAGTGAATTATAAGTATCATTGTACAATCCATCAATAAGAGGGTATGTGTGAATGTAAAGAAATACTTATGATTAGTAAGTATTCAGTATCAGTTGTGTCCTCTGGGTCTGGGTACTTTGTTCTAAGTTTTCCTCAAGATCTTTCATTTGGAGAAATAGCTCCTTCTGACACTTCTGTAGACTCTTGGCCTTGGTTCCAACGTGTGCTGCTTTTGCATCTCCCTCCCCTTTTTTCCTTTTAGGGTGTAGTACCGTATATTCTACCTAAACCAGCTTCTCTCTCATACACACCCAAACCTCAGTGGAGAATTAAAGAAAAATGGATCCTTCTCTATTCAGGATTTTTAGATAAAGATGATAGAATCTACTCTATTTCAGTGGCTATTAAAGTTTTCCGCCTTGGAGTCCTTTATACTTTAAAAAAAATTTTGACGTCCCTAAATTGTTTAGGACACCAAAGAATGTCTGCTTATGTGTTTTGTATATATTGATATTGACTGTATTATGAATGTAAACTGATCTTTAAAATATTTAATTCATTTTAAATTAAGCCAAATCACTAATCATTATATATTAAGATAACATTCTTTTGAAAAATAACTAAAATAAATTTTCCAAAACAAAAAGCAATTAAGAGTGCAGTACTTTTTAATGTCTAACTTAATAGAAGGCAGCTGCATTCTCGTATCACCTTCTGCATTCAATCGTCGTGATATTGTTTTGATTGATGTATAATAAAGAAAAGCGGGCTTCGCATGGATACATAATTAAAAATGGAGGATCTTGCAGACCCCCTGAAAGAATCTCAGAGATCCCAGGGTCCTTGAACCACACACCTCCAAGAATTGCCAAGCTGAGTTAAGTAGGGAGGGAGGTACTAAATACAGACTCTTTGGAAGGACTAGCAGGACAGGCTGAGCCCCCAAGACCCAGTCTCAGAACTGCACAAGAGTGCTGGCTGGATAAGGGAGCCGCTGCTTGAAATCAATTAACTATATGTCTTCAGGCATCAGCCTGAAACTGCCACCACAGGCCCCAGAACCCATTGACTGCTGCTGCTTACACCAGCAAAATGAAGTCCCAGGAACTCCCTTTTGCTCTCACCTACCCCATTTCTGCATCGTTGTCTTATGTTGATGTATCTCATTGGTGGACACTGAAGTCAGATGTGTGCATCCTAGTGGAGGCTGAGAATTATACTTCTACAGAATTCTCAGGATGGTGTTTAAAAGATTTTGGACAAATATTACTTATTCACTGCCATCACCTAAGAAAACTAGTTGAGAATCTGTTTTATTGGGGCATACTATAGAAATATACATTATATAAAATATAGAAGTGTAAAAATAAGATTTAAATAATCCCTGAAACATGTTAGATGTCTATTCCTGCTCACTTGAGGAATGTTTCCATAAAGATTGGGCATTTGAGCCTATAATTTGTTTTTTCCTTATAATTTTGTTAAATTTATTACAGTGACATTAGTTCATAGGGTCGTATAGGTTTCGGATGTACAGTTCTATGGTGCATCATCTGTATGTTGCATTGTGTGCCCACCACCCAAAATCAAATCTTCTGTCACCCTATAATTGGCCTATAATTTATTTTTATGCTTTTATATTGCCTTGGTTAATGAATATGAAGATTAGTTATATGAAAGTTGCTTAAAATTCTCTTAACATCCTATATTCTTTAAGATATGATGTAGGTATATTTAGCCTGTGTATTTCTAGCTGGGTCTTAGCAAATGGAATCTTGTCTGAAGCCTTGAAACTGCGAGAACTGCTTAGCTGTGGCTGGTAGAAAAGAGTCATGGACAGATTGAGAAGGGAGTTTGTTATTGACGCAGGTGTGAGAAGCAAATGAAAATCAAAGGAGCTTTCAGAAGTAACTTGGAGCATTGAAAGCTGAAAGCACCTACAAGGAAAAAACTAGGAGAATGTCTTTGCAGGATTGTTTTTAAGTAGCTCCTTCGAAAAAATCTGAATTTATAAACTGAGATGTTATAGCCTGTGGCATGTAACCGTTTTATTAAAAGTTGTATATTAGCACAGGAGGTCACTGTATTCAGACTGATATTTATACCTTTAAAGGCATATAAAATTTCGATTCTTTGCTTTGCCAGAAGAGCTTCATATTTTGTCTCATTCCTAAGTCAAGGACCCAGGTAGTTCCCTTATTTTTGGAAGAGTGACACGCTTTTGTTTGGGTAGTTATCCTCTCACTTTCATTCTGCTGGTCAGAAATGTCAGGACTTCTGAGAGGGTTGTCTCACATCAAACCTGAACCCTTGATTTTTGTGAGTCACAGGCCTCCACCATTATCCATGCCTACAGGGCAAATGTTTCAACCTGGCACAACAATCCACATCTTTTTGTTTCACAGTTGTCACCTGGTAACATAGGTTAATGCTGAGTAGAATGTCCCCTGCCCTTCTCTACCAACATGTATTTCTTCTCTCTCTCTGTTGAATGAAGCTAGATATAAATTAGACAAATGAAATGTCCTCCTCTACAAAAAACAAAAAATGCTTGATTCCTGTCAGACCTTACTGCTTTCCCAGCTGACTGGTTCCGACCCCCGGGATCATGGCTGTCATTGCAGCATCTCCTCACCCTTCTTGCAGGCGCGCGCCTGGCGTGCAGATCACGACCCTTCTGCACAGATGTACCGTGGCGGTTGTGGTGATAAGCCCCTGTCCTCTATCCCAGTTTTCTGGGAAGCTTCTCTGTTCTGTAAGGGTTAGAATGCCGAGAACTATTTACATTTCTAGGGGAGTTCTGAGCGCAAGTGAAGTTCTGCCGATGTCAGATGCGCTGGCTGAGGTTTGAAAGGGGCTGTGAGGCCGGGCCGTCCCCCTGCGGCTGGCTCGTGAGGTCGGCCCACCGTGGAGCAGACTCGAATTCACCTGCAGCAGCCCTCCAGCTTCTAGTCGCCAGCCTTGTGGGGTCAAGAGGCGTTGTGGTAGTGACCCCCACGACTCCTGATTCCTGGGTTGCTACTGTCTTAGCGTATTCTTGTACGGGACTGTCCCCTATTAGAGACTTATCATTCCCAACATTCCTCATTGTGGCAGAGGTGACAGTCCCTCCCCACTCCTGATAGGCCAGTTTGGTCATGTTTTTTTCTTGACGTTATTGCTGCAATTCCAGTGTAGGATCTGGCCGCTTATCCCTTCCAGAAATGTTGTCAGTACTCAAATACCTTTCTGTTTAGAATATCTAGAGTGGTTTCTGTGTCTCACAGTGAACCCTGACTGTTAAGGTAGTTATCTGTGAGTAGACAGTTGTGGCACATCCTGTTCCATTCCCAGACTCTACACCCTCTTTTCTCCATGTATCTGGAGCTACATGATAACCCACCCATTTGGTTATCCCTACCTCTGCTGATTGATAAGAGTTCCAGAAAGATGGGACGAGAAACAGAGTGGAAATTATTAAAGAATCAATACAAGACTGTTTAATAAAATAAAAAAGGCCAACCAATATGAATTCCAAGTTGTCATGAAATTGCAGACTATAATTGCAGGATAAACAGCAAATCAAATATCTTCAATA